CTTCTGCTTGTAGAAAGTTCTGCTCAAGTCTTGGCTATTGAACAGCGAAAATCGCAGGTCTCTATCTCATTCCTATCAAAAGTTATTCAAAAAGTGGCTGACTGTCTTGTATTTTGGAACGCATAGTAGTTAGGAAAAATTGCATAAAACAACAAGACTGTACGCAAAGATCATAGTACTATAGCCTGTTTTAAAAACAATGATTAACTTTGGTGCATACTTTGTTTCGATGTTATAGGTAGCGCAACGGTAAAAAAAGAGTACATTTTGCCTCCTGATCTAAGTAAGAAGCAAAACAAAACTCTACGATACCTTTCTTTGGTTTTCGAAAACCTCATCACTTTTTGCGAAATGTCAAAAAAATCGTATTTTCAGGCTAGAGCGGCAACTATATCTCTGAGAAACCTTTGCTATTACATTCAATCTTCATTTTCTTTTTCAGCTCAATTGTATCAACTTTGGCTGATGTATAATTCTTCTAATATTTAGTGAAATTAGCTCAAACTGCATACTTCTGAAAAAAGATTTTTACTAGCTTTTTCAACTTTTTTCGGAAACAGACATTGTCATGAGACTGAGCCTAACGGATCACATCTGCTTCAGAGCTAGCGTTTGTAAGGCCGCACATAAAGGAGTAATATGATACCTTTGCACTAACTTACATTCGCCTATGTTATAAATCAGATAGATATGAGGGAGGAGGAGTTCTACGAAAGCCCTGAATATTGATTCTGCATCCCCAGCCATGGTAAAGTTCGGACTGATTAACTACATTTTCTCACCTCGTAAGCCAGCTCTATCTCTTATTTATCTCTAACTTTATTTATATCATTAGAAAATTTAAGAAGTGGTTCCAGAAATAACTGCAAACAAAATTCAGTTATATTTTAAATTTTTATTCGTCTTTTCTAAAAAACACCTCCATACTTTTACTGGATTATATTTTAAAATGTTGGAATCGGGTAGACTTCATTTTCTCCAAAGTATTTTCTTTGTGATTCGCGAAGAAGCTCGGTGAAAGAAAACTCTTTAAGCTTGTTAAAACAGGTACAGAGGCGGTCACTTCCTAGAATATAATCGTATAGGTAGAGAAAGAAAATTGATTTGGACCGAAGCGTGCAAATGGTGTTTGGTAAAAGTCCATTGTTTGGCTTCCTGATAACCAGGTGATTGATTATCTTTGCTGGTATGTGAGGAATACCACCACACACAGACGATAATATTTGTTCTTCACAATTAATTCTACTCAATTCAATTGTTAATATCTGTTCTTCACGATGTAATTCATCAAATAATTGTAGCAGTCATTCAGATTTTCTCAGCAATGCCGTCCAGATTAATTCTTGTTTAACACCTCTTAACCACTGCATTCACTCCGCATCAGACATTGTTGGCTTAATTTCATCGCATAATCTCATTAATTCACTATAATATTGTTTTATTGTTTGATTTTTTGTTTGTTTATACTGTTTTAATTATTCAATTTTTATACAATTATCAATATCCGATCGTGATAAATATTTCTGTCTAAAATCACGTTGAAATGACGGCCAATCTATAATGGTGGTTTGATTTTGTTGATACCATCGACGAGCTTCACCAATTAATGTTGATCTAATAAAACGGAATTTTTCTTCAGCATCAATATCAATTATATCAAATAAATAAATAATAATATCATTCTACCATTCAGATGCTTGTTTATCTAAACTCGAAAATGTTTTGACATCGTGCATTACTTTCTTAAACTCAACGGCTGATTTATTTGTGGTTTTCTCTTGCTCATTTTGTTATTGACTGGGTGTTGCCGGTGATGTGCAACGAGTGAAATGTTTTTCGAAAATCTTGTGAATGTGATTTAAAAGGCATTTTTGGTTTGCTGTCTGAGTTTAAATATATTTGATCCTCTTGTTTTTCTTCTGTTTTTGCTGCTATTGTTGGACAATATATTTTAATAAATTCTCGAGCAAATGATCCCCAATCAGTAATTATACCACTGTTTTCCAAAACCATAATGAAACTTCACCTCTAACTACATACGAACATATCTTTCGTATAATTATCTTCTTGTATAACTATCTTTAATATAATTGTAATAGCCGTACCTCTGGCAACAGGTTCTAAGGCCAAGTTGCTACTGCAAACTAATTCTAACATATATACTGTATAAGATAAAACTTATATAGAAAGGAAAGAATACACGAGAATCCTGTGTGCGTGACTACCAAACACACAGAAAACGAACATCGAAATAAAGCGATGAAAAAATCGTAATTACGTCAGTGCACACATGCCGTCACACTATGTGCGTCAAGTAGCCACGTACACATGACTCTGGTGCATTCTTGCTTTCTATATAAGTTTTATCTTATACAGTATATGTTAGAATTAGTTTGCAGTAGCAACTTGGCCTTAGAACCTGTTGCCAGAACACTACAACATTAGAGACCGTCCCAAGTTTCGATGTCTCACGACGGTCGTTGTAGTACTTGGCTGATGAACTGCTAACATCTTAGTTGTTTAATGTTAAGCGCATGTAAGTAATTACTAAGAACTTTGTAGTCAAATTCATTATTCACCAGTTGCTTCTGGTTAATTGATTTGATATAACCAACTTTAAAACACGTGGCAAATTCACACATATATTAGGACGATGATCATCGTCTTTCAAAAAAGTACATGGTCTACTGGCAGTTCTCTCTGGAGTTTTTAAGTGTTCGTTATATCAACATTTATATTCGTATCTAACAAAAATAATTTAGTGACAACTTTACAATCTGGTTCTAGGCATTGTGACTCGACAACAAATCATCTGATCGACCTAATTCATGATATTAATAGAGATTTTAATGTACACGCTTGATAAGAGCTGTATTTCTTGATTTTAGTAAAGCATCTGACTCAGTCTGACATGGTAGACTTATGTACAAATTAAGGTGGAAGGACGAGTCTGAGAAATAGCGTGAAATGGTTTGAAAGCTACCTTTGTGATAGGTGAGTCATAACAATGGTTAACGGCAGATTTTTTAAAGCAAAAACGATGGTCAATTTTCTGGCAACTACATCTGAATATTAAAGCAATATAAATTATTTTAAAAACATAAAATAGACTTATCTTATTATTCGATGAAAATTAATAATATTTCTTTAACTGATGTGGCGTTTCACAAACATCTTGATCTTTTTATTAACATCTATATCGGACTCGGATGAACATATTGTTTATGTGCTGAGTAGATGTTGCAGGGTTTTGTTTCTAATATGTCAGCATAAAAACACTTCTAACACTAGTTTAGGATCAGATGCTCAGAACTTATGAGTGTACGGTTGTATATTATTCTATGTATAAAGCTAACTTCAGTTCTGCATCCGTTCTTCAATATATAGTTGCATGAATAGTTGTTGGCTCAGAAATCATCAATAACCGACCACTACATACTCACTTCACTGATAAACAACGCTCACCAGCTAAAAGAACTGCTAAATTTGCTTCGGGCTGCCAAGTCTAGATGAGCGTCCAAGCTCTTCTGCCAACAGCATCTATATCACTGACATTTCATTTTATTCAAATGACAGTTATTCCAGAAAGATTTTTCATTTCGCTGTTGTAAGAGATATTTTTTGTTTAATCATTTGCGAACAAGATTGCATGTGAATCAATGCTCATTTCGAAATTCACTGAGTCATATTATGACTCTTTCCTTCAAATTCTTACCTTTTGAGATGATGTTTTTTCTCATTCTTTCTAATTTCTCATTCAAATCTGCTGCTCAGCAGGTAATTCAATAGTTGTTCGTAAAATCAACCAACCATAACCTCGTCATTACTCATATTTTTTCATTCATCCACTATTATAACTGTCACTTATATAACCGAAGCCCAGAATTCTTCTAATACAAACACACTAACTGCAGTTTTCAAGTATGGGTAATTCAATAGGTATGCATGAACAGGAGTATATGGTACAATTACCAGAGAAATTGAGTGATGAACGACTGATGAAACTAGAATCAAAAACGCGATGTTCTAAAGATAAAATTGAACAATATTATCAAGATTTTCGTTTAAACCATCCAACTGGTTATATAACAAAACAAGAATTTTTATATGATATGCAAGATTTTCTTATTACACTTTCTGTTGGAATATACACGCTGAAGATCATTTCTATTTATAGCTTATAAGTTATTATTTCCACACTCCAAACATGATATGCGTGCATTTCGAAACAAGTCCGTCCACTTATGATTTATGTTTCAGTTAGAAGAAGACACTGATTAACGAAGATGGTGTAGACGATGATACAATATGTATATGACGCTAAAGCTGATCTGAAACATTCAGGTAAAATTGATTTTTCCGAATATGTTATTGCCATGGAGCAAAATTCGCAAAGTATGTTTGCTTTTTTGACCATATATGATGAATTAGTAACTCCAGTATTCTTCTTTTTCTAGCTTTGAAGTCAATGAACCAAATTCATTATAACAAGGATGATGATGACGCGTCGCTGGGAGAAACAAACGTTAATAATAAAACTGGAAAGAAAAGAATTTATAACCAGCGAACTTGTAAAATGACGATCACAGTTGATTTAAATATGAAAAGTGGAATCTAGATATCAAGCACAGAGACATAGACTTATATATATATATATTGCAGGAGAAAATTCAGTAGAATCTAAAATTGTCTTAGTACAAACTAAAATTAAAATTTTCCCTGGTGGAAAATAAAATCAATATATTCACACACACGAAAACTGAACTATCCAGTTTTAGAGCTCGAATTTTAGTTTTCTGAAGAGCGCAGGCTTTTCATGGACATCAGGAGAAGGTTATGTACAACGATTACTAATCCAAAAGTCTCTATCCGACCGATATCCAGACATACGTTCGAGTGCAGATTACGGGCCAAATTCTGCTCACAACTTGTAGTTTTTGAACTCACAACCAATTAAGCAGAACTAGCTCCGTTCGCAGCAAGAGTGTTCCCTTTTCGCTTACCTGAGAAGCAAGAACATTTCACTACCTTCAATGGATAGTTAGAACATTAACTGTAAAATGAACGGTATAATACCGATAAAGGTATTATAAAGGTAAAAAAGAAAAGTAGCAATAATTTCATAATAATAAAGATGAATTATAGCAAGAGAGAAAACCTTATTTTCTCATTCAGGAAGAAACATACAGCCATAAAACTTTCGAGGTAGAGGCAATCAAATATGGGGAATCTGGAAATGATATGGAAGAGGTAATCGACTGTGGAGAATAGATCGAGATGGGTTTCAGAGTTACTGGAGGCCTACAGAAAACTCTTAAGGTTTCTAAGTAGCTCTGAGTTGACCTTTGAACGAATAGGTCCGGAAATGCAGTTATTGATGTCTGAGGATATCCAGAGGGGAAAGTTTCTACAGTAAGCCAAAAACAAACTTTGTTCAGTTGAGGTAACTTTGACAGAAACTTTAAATGATCGTAGTTAGATCATAGTTTCCTTCATTTGAATGATGTTTGAAGCATCTCAATCGGCATGCGCTCTCCAGTTGAGGCATTTTTTAACGAAATGTGCCATTTTCTTTTTATTCTGTTTTCTGACATATTTATAAGCATTTAGGATATCCAAGACATTTGGAGAAATGTTCTTCCTTGTTCTTTTCCCGTGGCTAAGTTCCTCAACAGAGCTTTCGTTGTCACATGAAAATAATTCCAATATAAAGGCATCTTTCCATATTTGCATTGGTGCAAACTCTATTTTCATTGATTGAAATCGGAAAAAAATCACAAGTCCAATTTGGTTAAAGGTTGAAAAACTCCGAAGTTTTTGCGGACTGATCATATACGCTAGTTCTGGATAGGTATGCACCGGTATCGGTATACAGAATACCGCAAATACCGATACCGAAAATACCGAACTTCGGTATATACCGATAACGAAAATACCGACTTTTTTTGACTTGGAATTTTTTAGATTTTTCATTTGAAATGAGGTATTTTAGCATCCTGGACAAGCAGAACGTATAAACAACACTCAGCTGTGTATTTTGAGCATGTTCAGATAGAAAGAAAAGAAAAACTTTGGCTTTAGAAAGCAAACAAAGCTCTTGTTTTCCGTCCCTGATTCATTCTGGGTGTCCAGGACGCTAAAACATCTCATTTCAAATGAAAAAATCCAAAAAATTCTAAGTGAAAGAAGTCGGTGTTTTCGGTATCGGTATTTCGGTATGAATACCGATACCGGTGCATACCCAGTTCTGGAGTATAAACTAGTTAGTAATTTAAGTCTTTCTCATTAGAAATAGTTAAAAGTAGCAAGAAGCCCGGTGCTGCGCTTCAGATTGCGTGGTGATACATTTATCCTTTTCCTCATCGGTGCCAAATTTCTATATTACGAAAGCAAGAATGCAAGATGTAATCGCCAGAAGATTCTTCATCACAAGATTTCCTTGTAAACAATGTTCTTATTCTGAGCCAAAGCTTGATTATCGTTAGAGGTTTCTTTCAGGTCTTTTTCCGTTTATTGTTGACAGGAGGTGTGTGTGATTGTGGTGCCCTTTATTCACGATTATAGTAAATCAATTAAACCCTAAAATTTGGCTACGAGCTTTGCCCGGTAACAGACAGATACTCGATATTATATATACACGTTTATCCTAGGATAACTCCTATAATTATGGACGTAGATTCATACTGCGATCCACGGTAACTAGTGAAGCTGAACAAAAATATGTTATGCCTTTGACTGATAGCAAGGTTTATAAGGTTAAGAAAATTCAAAACTTCCACGCTTTTTTTTTCTTTTTCTATATATCATTCGATGCAGACTTTTGCGCTGAATCCGAAAATGTGTATTTTAACCTGTTGAATCAAAATTTTCATGTCAAAAATGTAAAAGAACTGAAAATTTTAAAATTTTAAAAAACAGCTTAATTTTGAAAAATCAACATAAAACTCGAACTCAATGTGTTTGGGAACCTTGGGAGCTTCTTGTTCTCCTTTTCCGTAAAAAACTAAACCTGAAAAATAGTGTTTCGATACTATTCAAGTATGATATGATCTAAAAGATTTTAGTTTTTCATCAATAGCCAAAATCCCGTTCATGTTGACACAAAAAGCTTCAAGTCAAGATGAAGCCAATATTTTTATGTCATTCCACTCGCCATAATAGTACGAAAAAAGTTACGCATCGGTTTTGGAAAATATTATTTCGCTGTTGTTACTGGAGGACTGTAACAATACCACTTGTCTATTGTTACCAGAACAAGAACTGTCATTGATTTTCGTATATGTACATGCAAAAAAAGTCCGAGTTTGACGAAAGCTGTGGTTTAAAGGTTTGAAAGGATGCATTTTCAAATCGTCGATTCAGAAAAATTTAAACATCTTAAGATATGAGGCTTTGAGAAAACCCGGGTTTTTGTAAACTGCAAAAACTCGCCACCTATTGCAATCAATCTGGGTATTTATTAGAAAGGACAAGAATCTACAATCACAAAGCATCTTTCTAATCAAACTCTTTGTCTAAATATCCCAGGAAAAATGACTCAATTTGATCTAAACATAGTTTATTTGAATCAACAAAGCGGGCGGGCCCATTACATGTCGAGAACAGGCGAAAAGAAAAGTTGGATTTCACATATACATACTAAAAACATACGCTCACATAGAATCGTAGATGAAGAGAGCTAGAGAGAAAAAATAAAAATAAAAGCAAAAATAGAGACAGTGAAATAGAGAGAGTGTATAGAATAGAATAGAACAATAAAAGGAACATAAATCTTATCTTACATAAGAATACAAATATGTAATGGATACAATCTGAAAACATGAAGGTGTGTACACAGTTGGATAAATTGAGAAAGACTAAGTTCTAGTGCAAAAGGGGTTACGTCTGTAGGGGTCCCGTATTCATTTTGGTGGTGCAGAAGTTATAACACATGACGGGCGAAAACGATTTGTAGTTTTAATATAATATATAACGGAGTTAAAAATTATTTTTATTTTATTTCAACGTAGATTTATCACGCAGTAAAAAGTGATTAAAATTTATACTTTTGGTATCAAAAACTACTTGAAAGATATAAATGACCTAAGTTTTTGGGTGGTTAGGATACTTGACTAGATCACTTTTTGTGCTTGATTTTACCTCAAACGTTATTTCTGCTGTAGTTTTACCATAACCGTAACCCTTTTTATTTGTATATTTTGTTGAAAAATCAAAATAATTACACGTTGGATCGTAATCGGATTTAATTTTCAAATGTCGGTTAGAACATTTGTATCATAAGACTCGTCATGATTAATTTCGAATTCATAAAGCTTTTTTCTTGTATATGTATGATATAAACGGCACTTGATCCATTCTGCAACTCCAACAAGACTGTCTTGTCGACCACATAAGCCAAATTCAGCATTTCTTTCTGAACTAATATCCGATAATCGAGCATTTTCATCGAACATACGGCTCCAGTTGAAATGCTCATCTACAGGTTCAATCACAGATTAATTGCTTGAATTTATTATTGTTATCACTAATGCTACTTGTCTTATAGGATTCACTGCGTAGTAAAGTGAAGAAAGAAAGCGAACCAAAAGTCTGAACTACAGCTTTAAGGATTTATCAGTATTCTGTTTTTTGGTTACATCTTAATATTTATTTACTCTATTATATCATTCTTTTTCTATGTGACTTTCTTTAAATTTTTTTCTTGAAATCAGACATTGACGATGCTGAGTGATTGATATGCTGAGTCACGAGACTCAGCATAGTCAATAACCTATGTTTTCTTGCATTTCTGAAGGTCCCAGACCGAAGGATTGAGCAGTTACAGTGTCATTGGCTCTTAAGAGACGTTTCATCAGTGAATCAAACAGTCACGAGCAAAAAATTAACCTATGGTTTTTATTTTATATTCAGATTCTACAATCAAATCTGAGATTATGAAAATTTGTTTTTCCCCTTCTGACTTATTTTGACGGAGTTATAGAATTTACGAAATTACGATCCTCATATGTGGTTTCCAGTGAAAGAGAGACAATTTGTCTCATGCCAATATCTTCCAGTTTAGATCTATAAATCTCCATTCCTGCATCAGTCATAGTTTGACGTTCTTGCCGTCTCTTATGTTTCCCACTTGCCATATGATTCATCAAATTACCGTGCCTGATGAACGTCACTGTACAGCCCTCTTCTTCACATTCAAATAGTCTTTTACCAGATACTTGAAGCTTTCAGGCTTATTCATCATCGTCATCGCTGCTACTATCCACTGTACTCGTTGCTTTACGTGCGGAGATTGCAGACCAGGCTTGTGCTATTCCACTGTAGTTATTGCATTCAATGCGACTGATAGTAGTTGCACATTTCAAATCCTTCCAAGAAATCAATTTTCCTTCTCCTACTCTCTGTGCCCGATGAACACATAATCCGTCTTTCTCAAATGAAAAGTTGTTAAGTTGTGTGATCAGTGGTATTGGTGTTATAACATCGGAACTAATCATTGGACAGTCAAATGCCTCTACATCTTTCACATCACTATGTGACATACAGGCTTTAATAAATTGACCAGCGTTCAGAATACCATGTTTTCCATTCAGATATCTTCTCACGTTCCCCTTTATAACAGCCGCCGCGTATCTGTCGCAAGCTGATTTTCTGGCTTGAGTATCGGAAAAGTCGATTCGTTCGACTTTGATATTCATGTTTAGTGACACCTGAGCTAGTGAGAATATTGCCGATGCGGAATGATAGCATCCAGCGTTATCCACTCTCAGAAATGCATGTTTAATCGATTTATCTTCCGTTTTCACTCTTTTTAGAACGTCCGATAAAATTGCTATAACTGCTTCCGAGTCTTGCATACAATGATCTATGACATGTACGTATATTTTTGTTGAATAGTTATTCTCAGTCGGATGAACAGTTTCTTCTTCTTCTTCGTCGTCGTTTTGCATACTTGTATCATCGATTTCGTCTTCGTCTGCGGAAGATGAGAAATTTGACTCCTGCTTTAGTACTGTATCCTTGCTACTTTCTTCCTTAACCACCACCGAAATATGCCAAGAGAGTCCTTTCTTGCCAAAGAAATTTTCCTGCGGTTCACGATATTTTTCAGGCAACCATTTTATCGCCCAGTTCATATAGACGAACACTGTATCATCCTGTAAATTATACACTAATTCTTGTCTGCAGAGACCTTGGTTGACAGATCTTAATAAATGTGCCTTCCATGCATCGATCGCATCACTAGATATTCGCAGTCTAGCAAGGGCTCTGTCAACTAGTTCACGATCATCGACCAAGTTTTTTATTTCATTTTCAATTATTTCCAGTGTTGCTGCCAAATTTTCACATTCATTACACCGATCATTATGTTTATGATTACATTTTTCAGCGAAATCACCATCCGTTAGAGATGACAAAGAGTAGTTGATACAATGATCTGCAACGGTCAATTCTTGACTAATATTTACTTTATAATCTGATTTCGAGTACATACGAGCACTTTTGATGTTGTCGATAAGTGATCGTTTACTAGCTATATCCAAATTCAACTCTTCGATCAACTGGATTAGGTCATCGAATGCCTGTCCCGCATTGGCCGTAAAATAATTGATACCTTGCTTGCTCTGTCTTATTGAGGTTTGGCAAGCATGCAGAAGACTTAATAAACTTGTACGTCCGAGTGGAGAAAAACCAGGATTATTTTCTTTCGTATAACCGTAATAGTGATCAATTATTCTTGTAGGAATGAGGTTCCAAACCGTGTTCGGGACAAAGACTGGTGTTCCATTCGACATTTTAATATTTGTTCTCGGAATGGAAGATCTGTACATATATGAGGAGACAAAATAAAATCAATGAAATGTTCTACTTGAAAATACTGATAACGTTGCATTGGGTCAGATTTACGCTCAATTTTCTTCCCTACTTCATATTGCAGTGCATGGCGTCGTGCTGCTGTGAAACGATATGCTTTTAGGCCGGGAATAACTTTTTGAGTAGTTTAAATTCCACTTTTAGAGCCACTATCGATAATATTTCCCGTCTAGTGATCCACGAATCTGCGTTTCTGCACGATTCTGCTACGGCTTCGAGTACGGTTACAAATTGTTGACCTAATACACAAGTTTTTGAATCTTTTTTATTATGGAATATATCATCCGGAGCATCGGGATCGTCATTCGATGCCATGAATGTAGCCACATTTTGCAGAATAGAACGACCGTTGGAGAGATAATTTTTCTTCCCTTTACCAAGATAATGGTAATCTTCGTTAAGCCATACTTCTTATATTTCCGAACAATATAAAAAATAGTGTAGGCGGCCGCTGACTGCTGTTTTGAGCGGGCAAAGTGGTTATTTTCACACAAATGCGGATGACTCAAGTGGTTTTTTACATCCCTTGTAGTCGCTCTTTTGGGGGGGTTTCTGTTTTTTTTGTCGAAGTTTAGGTAGCCGACAACAGGTACTCATGGCCGCTTGAGCTGCCGACAATCGCTGCTTGTGACCGTTGTGAGCGAATGTTATGACCGAATGTGAAGCGAGGAGCAAGGAAAGTCTAACCTGAATGCACCATTCCTTTCTAGAATGTCACGTAACTTGCAAACTCTGACATAAAATTAATTGCAATCACCATACTTCATTTGCTATGAAACAGTTCTTTTTCTGTCAAAAAGTATGTTTTTTAAAAATTGATGATAAGGTAATTGTTATGGTGCGCCCGGTTGTAACGCATTTTTGACCTTTTGCATCCCTTCTGAAAAACGTTTTTTGGCAAAAATATTTTTTGGTAAAAAACGGTTTCGGGAATTTCAAAAGTTTAAATGGGCTGAAAACTGGCTGAAACGAGCTCCCGATCCATCTTGCAAAGCTATCTAGTCCCAGGCCTTTCGAGATAAAATTATTTCTGTTACTTCATTCTAGCCATCGTACCTGTGATACAAAGGTTAGGTATCCATTTTGAAAAATTTTACTTCGTTGCTAAGAAAAACTGACATAAATAAATTCTGTATCTAGTATGTGAATACAAGAAAACAAATAGTTGCTTTTTTGTCTTTAAAATCAGTCTTTCTTTTACTGTGTACAATAACGTGCGTTACAAACTACTGGTGTAATTAGCCCATAGACATAAAATTTATCACAATTTGTTATTGTTATTAGATTATTATGCGAACATGTACCAACACTTCCTGGATAACAAACAGCTGCCAATATCGATTCACCCACAGTTGATGGATGTGTAGCATTTGTCTAACTAGGTGTATCTGTATTACATTTTCGTATACCGGGAGATGTTGTAGCTATTTGCGTATCACAAGATGATACAAAACGTGCATATGTAGGACACGCACTGAACGAGAATAGATCATCACACTATGTACCAACACCATAGGATGTTAAACGTGTAGAATCACTAATTTTTATATCACTAGCACATTGTGATGGAAGTGATGATGATGTAGTAGACACTGCAAATTATAGATGCACTAGGTGAATTTGAAAATTCGTCTCCCCCACCTTAATTATTTTCTGCATTTTGTGCTGGGTTTTTCTCCCTTACTCAAAAAACTGTATAATTTTAGCATAGTATGTACAACTCATCGTTTTTCGTAATAACAAAAGAATCTCTAGATGTTGTCTTTTATTATTGTGTTATTTAAATTTAAATTAAAAGATTTAAACAAAAAATTGTGTGATATCTTAATCTTAACTTTAATTGAAAAAATATATCTTCTTGAGTGCAACTTCTACTTTTACTTCAGTCTATAACACTGAAGGTGACGAGTATGTAAATATTCAACAGTTAAGATGAACAAAAACGGACGAGGAAATCACACTGAGGGGAAAATATAATTTCATTTTAATATAAATACTCTACAACTTCCTGGATCTAGGACTAGGTTTTTTGAGATGCCATTTGGAAAGATGCTATAACCTTCAACATTATAACCTGTCTGCTGTTACACATCTAGGCATGGTCTCTTGTTTCATTTCTTCCACTCTCTAGAATTTTATATAGAAACACACGCATATATATGTTGCAGTGGAAATCAAAATCTAGGGCGATTGAAAATTCTTCTAGGAGAAATCCAAATTTCGAGTTCTCCTGAAAGAATGCCAGTTGAAATCAAAATTTTAACTTCCCCTATAGGGCAATTTTACATTCCCCTAAAGAGTGTTTGATTGATATTTAGCATACTGATATTGATAGTTTATTTAATTAATAAATAATAATTAATAATTTAATTGATACTTTATTAAATTTTATACATTCAAACTAATTAATTAATAAGTTGGTTTTAAACAGAACGTTTTGCATAGCATAAAAAGCTAAGCAATTATTTAATCAATCATACTTAATCAATTAATTTATCTAGGAAAACATTTAATACTCTGGTACAAATTTGCTGGTTGATTTCGCAAAATTCTGAAAAAACTCTCGAATATTCTACAAAATTCTTCATGCTATGCGAAAAGTATGATAAAAATGTCGAACTTTTTGGAAAATTCTTCTGCTTTTGGCAAAATTGCCCGAAATGTGTGTCAGTTGTGAGAATATTCATGCATAGTTCTGCGGTTTCACAAACTACAGCTTGATTTGGCAAAATTCTGAGATCGCCGTATGTTAGCTAACGTGAAAGAGATCCTATACAGAAAATTCAACATACATTCATCATTCCTTCTAAAGATATTTAACTCTAACGCATCATTACGAGCAGGGGCGTAGCTAGCATCTCAGAGCAGGGGGGTGGTCCTGTCCGAAAATTTTTTGTTCTTTCAACCAAAAAACGTTTCCATGCTATAAGACGTATCAAAAATTTTATGCAACGATAGTAAAAACAAACTTTTCTAAAACCAGGGGGGTGGTGACCCCCTCCAGTAACTACGCCTCTGATTACGAGTAAGACAGCACAAATAATCATATATAACTAGATTAGCTACCGATGTTCCTCTTATACCAAATTCTGTATGATTGGGTACAACAACAAAAATTGAACATTTCATTACTCAGTGAGTACGATCGTGCTGGGACTATGAATGGGACTGAAGCTCATTTTGCAACTACAAGTGAAGTTGAAACATTTATATTGACTTCGACAATCGCTGTGGATTTTACACATATAGTAGAAAAGAAAAAGTCGAACTGTTTATGCTCATAAAGCAATAGCCCTGAAGTTTAAATAGCAACAGCACCACCTTTTTCTTCGTTTTTCCTACTCTTCAACAAATATTATTAATTATTTTCGAATAATATTCAGTTTTTCTATTACTCATATATTATTCAAGCTTTAGCACAACTAAAACGCGCTTTTCAAAATGTTGTGAAATCTTGTTACAGAATCGTGCGTGATTATGAAAGATGCCATCATTTGCAATTTCAGAATAGATTTCGATCATCTAGTAAAAAATTTATGTTTATGTTTACCTGTAAAATTACGTTTTCGTAGTACAAAAATACAGAAAAATAAAACAGCTATTACCATTTTCGTTCAACGACGCAATTTCCTCACCATATTATAATGAATAATTAGATTAATCAAACAAAAGATAGAAAATATCAGAAGATGAAGACAGTTAATATATCTTAATAAATATTTTTAACGTCCAATAACTAAAAGATAGATTATCTATCTTAACTTTGATAGAGAAAAAAAAAGGCGTATGTTGTTGTTATAATAATTCACCTTAATGAATCTAAGTATTCCGACATTGATTGTATAGCGAACTGAATAAAGTACCAAAATATGGACCATTGATGTAGCCTGGATTACTCACATACGTAAAACTGTTCACCGATGTAATAATGCCGGAAGCCGTTTTTGTATTATATTTATTTAGCCAGGGACCACCCGAGCTACCAAATAGTATCCAAAAAAGACAGAAGAGCAATATCAATATTCTATGTTTTGAGCATAGTGATCGAAGAAAATAAGTGAACACCATCCTTTTTGTACATTCAATCTTCGTCCATTGTACAAGCAACCATTTGTCCGAGAAAACCAACATAAGCTTTTGCAGCTTTAGCAGTACCTTTACAAAAGCTCATTTCTTCCCCTTTGCCAGCGTCGTACGGATACCCAAATGAAAT